GAGAACTTACATTTTGATTAACTTAATCATTCATACACACACACATTACACTATCTCCATATATGAGCTCTTTTATATCTTAAGTGTAGGGATCTGAAAGGTTCATTGCACCAAGTTGTCAATAACAAGAACCCCTCATCTCAAGAAATGATCTCAAATATTTGGTACCAGTTGATTGTTTTGCTAGCAACTTGGCTTGACACAATTACCAAAAGAGGAGACAAGGAAAAAATTGCTAAGAAATGTGCTTTGTGACCTTTTTTAGAAGTGTAGACAAAGAAGAAGACAAATGGACATGAAAACCATTACTATAGCTATAGGAACATATGTCTAGGAATGATAGAACATATACCTCCCTAAGTTCATCAAATTCCTCATCAAAGACCTCAAGTATTTGGACTACAATAGTTATAGACTCATGTTCCATTTCAACTTTGTCCCTCTCACTACCCTCCCACTCCCAAAATGCTCTTTTCCGGTTTTGAGCAAAGATAATGTCAAATTGAAGGAAAATGAATATACCTATCTAATGCCCATGTCATGCTTATCATATAATACCCATATTTTACATGAGTGAATATTAATTGTATTCTTATATTAACCTAATGTTTACAAGGATACTGTCCCCAAGATTAAGTTACACAGGCTTAGATAAAATATATGCGCTATGTGGTATGACATGGGTGATGTTGGTTTAGTGGATGAAGTTGGTTGCTTTTACTTGTGCTTGGAATTTTAGTAATTTTTAAGAGAGGAATGGTTTGTAATTAGAAGTGGATTACATAAAAATGTTCACTAGTATTAAAAAATTAACATAATTATTTCTGGTTTTTATTTTTATCATTTTACTTATTTGGTAAAAAAATCATGTAAAAATACATGCAGGTATAGATATCAAGATGATAATGGAATTTCATTACCAAACTACTTCTTTGTATTTTTCACTTCAAAGTGGAGAGTTGAGCAAGACAATCAAAAAAATAATATAAGCAAGACAATCAAAAGGAGAGCATCAAGAATAAGTTTTTTTATTAACATGAGGAAATGATTAGTATTTTGTTCTGTAACTTATTACCAAACAAGATTTTCCTAATGTTCACTCACTCCTTTGCAATTGTGATGGTTTGGCAAAAGTTCTTAGTTAGTGCTCCAGCTTAAAGAAAATTATTTAATGATTTCTATATCTTATATAAATCATATATTTGTTATCATCATTAAACTTATCACTTAGCTGGCTCCTTCATCACATGTAATATCTAGTCTCAACTTTGATATGCCTTTGAAAAAATCAGATTGATAATACAAAATCATTTTAAAACTTAGTTTATTTAAAAATAAACTATTAATGGCATCTGTACTTTCTGATTTATTTGAAAAGGTAGCAAATTGCAGTCATTACAAATTATGATACAAGACAATTTTTACAATATATATTGAATGATGACCAAACAATATTATCATTTGAATATATCACATTATTTCCATCTATTTGAAGTTTTAAATAATAATATTTATAGAATTTAGTTTATGATTCATGATATTTTTAATTTTATTATATTTAATCATATATGAATGTTTTCAGTTTCAAAAATATTATAAGATTTATCTAGATCTGTAGCCAAAGTTTCAAGAGATGTAAATATCATTGTAGTAAGAGGTCAGAACGTGGATGTGAAGGAATCTAAAGCTCTAGATGAGGGGGAAGCATGGCAGAAATGTAACAAAACAGACATCATTATACAAGAATCTCAAGCTTGGAGGTTACCTCACCTCTTGAACAATTCTAAGCGTTTTGTCTTAAGAAAAAAATTTCATCTTCTTTAGAAAGAAAATCTTCATGAGGAAATTTTTGGCTTGCAATTGGCCATTGACACCATGTCCTGTTTGAAACTGACTATAGAAACACAGTGATCTCAAGCATGAGCACCTGTTGGAGGACGTCTCTAACAAGTTGGAGTAGCCATTAGAAGAGGCTTGCCATCTTCTTTTGGAGAGGGAATTTTACATGACTATGAGTTACTAGATGGGGAAATCTTTGCAACCAAATAAAGAAACATAGTGATCCCATCTTGATCAACTTAGAACAGCCTAGCACAACCTATCCTCACCTTCTTTGGTGAGCTGGGTGGTAGATGTGTGGCTGATAACAGTGTTGAGACATGTGTAAGAGATGGTGGAGCTGGAGGGGAGTTGGAGGCTCAGTATCACGTTTGTGGATTTATCTTGGAGGTATAAACTTAGTTTTCACTAACTAACAAGCTGACCATGTTTCCAACTTCATATCCTTACTAGAAATCGCCCAGCAAATGCTGGCCAGTTGACAAAGTTTATTGTTTAACATATCTCTCCTTCTCTCAATGTCCATCCTTCACCATCATGATTCCAAGCTCTCAAAATCTAGAAGAAAGAAACTTTTAGCCCAAGTGGTGCAAAAAAAGTTTACATACCTTTTCTATACTCTTGAAGTTGAAGTTCTCTTGGACAACCTATCATAGTTAGAAATTAATGTAAAATTGCTTTGGTAGGGAGAAGAAAATAACACATACCTTTGGCTCTTGCTCATACCTACTGTTGCCATGTAGCTATGGCTATTGCTGGTAGCAATGTCAATGCTGATTTGACGATTGCTAAACAGCTTGCTCTAAACCTACTTGCTGTATCCTAGGTAGAAGGAAAACATTTGATCCTCCATCCTGTCAAGAGCCTCTAGAGTAGCACCAGATTTTCCACAAATCTGTTCTCTGCCGTCATCATGTGCTAACAAAGCTGCGAGCTGAGCAAGCAGCAACAATGAAGCCATAAACTCAGATGCAATGTTAGAGCTGTTTTCAATGTTAGCTCACTTTAAGAAAGTGAGCTTATAAGCTGTGACTCCACATTTAAGAAAGCCAGCATATATTTAATTCCCTAGCAGCCAGGAGCATTGTGGCTTAGAACTTGCTGCCACTAGATCTCCAACACCCTGCTTAACACTTACAGAAAGTGTAAGAGCATGTTAGATGCTTGAGTAGTGTTTAACCAGAGGAAGCATCATAACATACTGGGATATGTTGAAACAGGGGAGAGCAAGATGGTTTTAAAGTTTTTAAATGCATAGGGCTGGAAGAAACACTGCCAATCTTTGTAGTAGTGCCCCTGATGTTTTGTGGGACTTTGGTGAATTTGGAAACTGGAAGAATAGGGATCTGCAAGAGGCAGCAATGTCACAAACAAGTGGGCAAATTTCTCCTGTCCTGGGTGCAATGTGATTCTTGGACTAACGCGTGTTTTCTCTAATCCATAGCTTTTACCCACAACACCCGATGAGTTTCTTCTCTGCCAGCCAGCGTGCCCGTTATTGATTGGCCATCCAAACATCAACATGATTTTTCCCACAACCATGCCGGGCCTGGGATCCAACGGCCAGCAAGCCTCCCCACTATCACTTTATATATATAGATCATAAATAAGTAAGAAAGTTTCTAACAGCAGCTTCCAACCTGCATGGGGTCTGAAGATTCCACAGGTTCTTGACTATATCAAGAGCAACAAAGTGGTAAGACGTCAAAGCCGAGTGAAGACGATTATTTAGCCTTTGTCCCTTCCAATATCTCGGTGCTATAAATTCCCCAAACCACGAAGTTGGAGAGATCTAGATCATAGTTTAGAATCTGATATCACAATTCTGAGATCAATCATCATGGCGAGCAAGTCCTAGCTGATACTCTTGGTGATGTTTGTGACACTCCTCCTAGTGGGAGTGGACGCCCAGCAGCGATGCAAATCCGGATGGAACTGGGATGGTGAGAAGTGTATCCAGTGCCCGAAAGACTGGTACTGGTATGGCAACGGTTGCCACCAATGCCTCTCCGGATGGAAGTGGAGTGGAAGCAAATGCGTGAGTTGCCCAAGCAGCTGGTACTGGTATAGAAATGGCTGCCATCGCTGCCCTCCTGGTTTGAGCTGGAGTGGTGGTGGAAGCCGCTGCATTAGGATGTGATCACACAACACTGCTGTAATATGACTTCACCACAGCATTTGCAGGAATAAAGATTTGCTGTAATAGACCAGCAATGCTGGAGTTTGAAGGAAAACTGTGGCATTTGCAGGAATAAAAGCTCTTGCAGCTTCGATTGTAGCATTCCCATTAGCCGTGTTGAGGAAGCAATCCAGCCTGCAATTAGAGTCTTTGAGAGGTGGCTTTTCTTGGTTTGATCGGTTTGGAGATGTTATCTAGCCCTCTATTTTGACTCAAAGGTTGCAACCTTTGTAATTTCTTCGTAATTTCTTGTTGCATGGACCATGAACTGGTGGGCGGCGAGGAGATTTGAACTCAAGAACTTCGTATTGGATGCGGTTTGTGCCTGTCCACCCCAAAAGATGTCATGCATTGTCCATTATGCTTGGCGGCACGTACTCAATTTCATATGGTGGAGGATTACTCGTCTCAAGCTCGAAGATGCGAGGCTGTTTTCTGGAGACGGCTGTAAAGCTCCGCTAACGCGTTTAGCATGAATCTTGGAATCTTTCAGATGGAAGATCTTGGCCGTTTCGAAATGCATAGGCAGCACGTTGTGCTTCGCTCCTCCATCGAATCAAACAGGCCCTTGGCAAGATTGATCTTGCGATCCTGCCAGAAGAACTTCCCTAGTAGGCTGTCAAAGGAGCTCCTCGCCTCTCTAAAGTTCTGGGCGACCGCAGTGATTATCGAATTAGTCAATCACTCGGGGCATGGTTTCAAACACTCTCCTTGCTTCCAACGCATAGCCTGTTTGGCATACAATTCTCTCACAGGCGATCACGTCAGATAAAAAAGACTGATTTTCTTGACGATCAATGTAAATGTTTGTACGCAAATGTAAATGTGACCTTTTATATTCTACGGCCAGGTACCAGAGCAGCCTGTTACCCGTCCGTTCTGCATTGAATGCGATTGAGTTAAGAGATCCATCTGATCAATACATTTAAAGCAGTTTAGAAAAAGAAAAGAAGAGAGAGAGAGAAGAAGCTGGAGAAAGAAATCCAAGATCTCCTTCCTCTGCGCGAGAGAGAGATCAAAGAATAGTTTTTCTTCTCTTTTCTGTTGTCCTCCTCTCCTCCTTGCTCCTGGCATTGATCGAGATCTCCTCCTCTCACAGCTCACAGCTATGGTGAGGAGGCTTCGCCACACAGAGAAAGGGGGATGGCAATGGTGGGTTTTAGCCGGCATTGTAGCATTGGTGGCTGTTCTATCCGTTGTCACAGTGTTCGTTGCGCAGCACAAGCACAGACACAAAGGCGGGAGCTCCTCCTCCTCTTCCTCTTCTTCCTCGTCCCCAATCTCTGGAGGGAAGATCCCTCCAGCAAATGCCCAGCCTCCAGCCGCCAGCGTCTCGTATCCTCCATCCCAGGACTCCGGAGGCACTGTCTACGCCAAGTACGCGGAGCCACTCAAGATTTCTCTCCAGTTCTTCGACATCCAGAAATGTGAGTAGATTTTTCTTTCCTCGTCGACGATCGATTCCATTGCAATTCCCCGAAATCGATCACGTTGGCTGCGAGAACTCCGCATTGGGTCCCTCGTGGTCGCTGTCGGTCCCTTCCCCTCCCCCTGGATTTTGCGTTTCCTCGTTCGTTCTAATGGTTTGGATCTTCCGCAGCGGGAAAGCTACCCCCAGACAATCCCATAGAATGGCGAGGAGATTCGGCGCTATCCGACGGTAGCGATGCACACGTGGATTTAAGCGGCGGAATGTATGACGCTGGGGACTACATCAAGTTTGGCTTTCCAATGGCGTTCACGGCCACCATTCTTTCGTGGAGCATTCTCGAGTATAGGAAGGAGTACACCGCCACGCAGCAACTCCACTCGGTCACTGGATCGCTCAAATGGATCACCGATTATCTCATCAAGGCCCACGCATCAGAGAACGAGCTCTACTTCCAGGTACAAGTTTTTTTTCTCCTCCCTTTCCTCTAGCTGCTATGGTTTCCTTGTGTATGTTTCTCTTGTTTTTTCTTTCGCTAATACCTAGAACTAGAATGATGGTTCTTTGGATTGCATTCTCTTTTGCTAGAGCTAATCTTTCTCTATGTTAGTCGCGTGAAATTGAGCTAGAGATAGATGGTATTCTCGGCTACATGTGAGTGTAATTTCTTGTCGATTTGATAGATGGTTCTTCGGATATATGTGTGTGTATGTGTGTGTGTGTGTGAGAGAGAGAGAGAGAGAGACAGCTTTCTGTGTAACTTAGATATGTTTTCTCCTTTTCGCGTGTAATTTGAGGTGTTTTTTTCTTCCACCGATGTTTTCGAATTCCTGAGAAGATTCGATTTTGTCTTTCACGTTTTTATTGTGGATGTTCCTTGGAATGATCTTTTCGTCTGGTACAAGTGTAAGAACTCAGTTTTTCGCTAGTTCTCGTAGTATTTTCGTCTTCAAGTCTCTATGATCAAGCTATCCTCTTTCTAACTTTTGTACTTTCGTGAGAGCCAGGTAGGAAGCCCAAGGCTGGATCACGCATGCTGGGAGAGAGCCGAGAAGATGGACACTGCTCGCCCGTCTTTCAAGCTGGATCCATCACACCCAGGGACCGAGGTGGCGGCCGAGACGTCGGCGGCCATGGCAGCAGCCTCGCTCGTGTTTCGAAACGATGACCCCTCGTACGCACAAACTCTCCTCTCACACGCAACGCAGCTCTTCGCCTTTGCAGACAAGCATCGTGGATCTTACACCGCCAGCTTTCCATCCGATCAGCTGTACTATAACTCTACGGGCTTCGAGGACGAGCTCCTCTGGGCCGCTTCGTGGATGTTTTACGCGACCAAGGACTCAAAGTACCTCGCCTACGCGACTGGAAAGCTGGCACAGCTAAGCGCCGGATGGGAGAAAGCTCCTGCTTGGTTTAGCTGGGATGACAAGAAACCGGGCATTCAGGCAAGTTCTCTCAAACTTTCTAGTGTTTTTTTGACTTCCATTTCTTTTCTTGTGTTGTTTTCCTTCGATTCTTCCACACTCTTCTCACACTTCCATTCTTCTAGGTGCTGCTATCGCGACACTATTTGTTTGAGCCGGAGGAGAGTGATGTAATGGTGAGAAGCTCGCTGGTGAAGTATGGCAAGACTGCCGAACACCTGGTCTGTGCGTTTCTTCCACAGTCTCCCACTGCTAGCACGAACAGGAGTACCGGTGGATTGCTGTGGGTGAGCCAAAGGAACGCTGTCCAGCACGCCGTTGGCTCGGCTTTCCTAGCGGTCGTGTACGCGGACTATCTTTCGAGCTCGGGAGTTAAGCAGTTCCGGTGTTCCGGGAACAGCTTCGCGGCCAAAGATCTTCGGGCGTTTGCGGCTTCACAGGTACTAAAAACTTTGAGAGTTCTTCAAAGATAGAATTCCAGACTTAAAAGTAGTTACAAAGTTGGAACTAGAACTTAGAACTTTTGTGGTCTCAGGCTAAAAGTTCTCTTACAGGCCGATTACATCTTGGGAGAGAACCCCATGTCCAAGAGCTACCTCGTTGGATATGGCGCAAACTTTCCACAGCAGCTCCATCACAGAGAAGCATCCATACCTCTGGACGCAGCGACTGGGTGCAAAGATGGATTCCGGTGGCTCCACGCTTCTGCTCCAAATCCACACGTCGCCACCGGAGCTCTGGTCGGAGGGCCCTTTCAAAACGATAGCTACTCCGACTTGCGAGACAACACAATGCAAAACGAGGCCACCACTTACAATTCGGCCGCCATGTCTGCGCTGCTCGTGGCTTTGTATGCTAATGGTCCGATACTTCCAACAGCACTTTAAAGAGATTTGTCAAAAGGCTTTAGTTTCAATGGGAATTTTTTTTCTTTTTCTTTGTTAGATGAAATGGCACATCGCAAATTTGAGGAACTTGGGTTAGTGGTTAGTTAAAACTTGAGTGAAAAGAATCTTCATCACTCCAAGTAGAGCCAGTCCTGCCCATCGATAAACTTTATATCGCTGTACTCATAAGCTTGATCTGAGGTCAGCTGCTTGATCCAATTAACACGCCTGGTGCTGTCCGCGCCGGGACCAAAGTTCCCATGTTCGGCAAAGAACGCAGTCCTGCAAAATCCAGAGAGATTAGGCCCGTCATCTTTTCTCTTTCTATGTGGTGAGGAAACTGTCCTTACCCCGCGGCTGGGTTGTAAGCCCATTGGTCCCATCCAGTCGGGTTGACGACTTCGTCCAGGTAATTGTTGACAAATACTACAGAAGCATATTCCTTCCACGGACGACCCAGATGCACCAGGCCCGTCCCTCCAATGTAGCTGTTGTAAATCGAATAGCCCGAGTCCAATGTGGCATTGAACTTGGACTGAGCAGTGATCGATCCAGATTTGCTCCTCGCGTTTGAAATGATGAGACAGCCTGTGGGAACGATGAAAACCAAGTAAGAAGAAAAGGTAAAACTTTCTTGTAAGTTTACCTCAAACAATGCCCGGCCTTGTCCAAAGATGAAATCGACATTTCCCTGAATGTAGCTTCTCTTGTAGTAATGCCTTCCTTTCTGATCGTAGAGGGTATCTTGGCTGGAAGTAATAAAGCAGTCGTAGAATGCCGCGTATTCACCCGAGACGCGAAGGGCCACGGCTTGGCCTCCCACAGCTCCGGAGTAAGCAAACGGAGCATCGTTCTAAATCATAAAAACAACAATAAGTCAGTATTGCATATGCTGTTAGCTTGGATTCGAGTTTTGTCTTTTTACCTTGAAAGTAATGTACTGAGCTACAAAGAAATTAGCCTCAACTGCAAATGTGGAGGTGTTGAACGTTTTGACGGAATTGTTGGTGTTCCCATTGAACACAATTACCGTGGAAAACTTGGCGTCAGGGTTACCGACAAGTGTGATGAAGTCTTTTGTTGCAGGGATTATGATCTTTTCACTGCACAGCCCAAACAAAACAAAAGATTGGCTGGTTTCTCACATTCACCACTAACATACCGATAAACTCCTGCTGCGACGTTGATGATATACCGCTGCTTGTTTTGGAGGGGAACAGCATTGATTGCCTCTGTGATCGTCTTGTACTCCTCGTCGGGGCCGACGTAAAGTTTGACTTTATCAGAATTTGCACGGGAAAGGGCTTCGCGGGGTGGAGGTTCAGTGTCGTCATCGTCACCACCATCATTGTCACGGTCGTCATGGTTGTCATCATCGTCATCATCATCCTCACGGCGGCCTAGGCATCCCCGATAATGAACAGACAAAATCAGAAAACCAAAGAGGAGAAAGAGAAGGTAAGGCTTCAACATTGTGGCTGCCTGAATATTTGTGTCAGGAAGTTGATAAGTTTTATAGAGGCCTGGAGCTAATTTATTATTATGTGAGTTTTGATAAATTTAACAATGAACCATATTAGTTAAACAATAAACCATATAAATTTATTAACGAAAATAACCTTTTGGTGCTGCGAAAGGTTAAACTAAAAGAATGGTTTATTAATTTCGTTATGGGGTGGTGGCGCAGTTGGTCGGTCTCATAGCTTCTAGGTTATCCTGAGGTCGAGAGTTCGAGCCTCTCTCACCCCATATTTTTCTAGAGTTTTCACAATGATTTAAAAGTCACAGAACAATTATTTTTGTGATCATGTGAAATATTGGGCTCCAATCTGGTTAGTTCTTGATGCAGTGGCCCTTGCTCCATTTCCAGCCAAACTGGCATTGGTGGCACTTGTTGTTGTACCAGTACCAGTTGCTCGGGCAACTCACGCATTTGCTTCCACTCCAGTTCCATCCGGAGAGGCATCGGTGGCAATCGCTGCTATACCAGTACCAGCCTTTGGGACACTGGATGCACTTATGACCGTCCCAGTTCCATCCAGATTTGCATTGCCGCTGGGCTGCTGCGCTTTCGATTCCACCAACGTCCACTCCAACCAGGAGGATTGTCACAAACATGGCCAGAAGCATCAGTTGGGACTTGCTCGCCATTGTATCGTCAATCTAGAAATGTAAACTAATTGCTTTTCTTGTATCCCTTATTTGCTTTGCTGTGTTATGGTGCCAGAGTAGTGCCAATTTATATGGAGGATTTGAGGCTGAGTCTAAGTAACACTTCTATGTACAGGGTTTTTACTGCTTCTCGGGCACGATATGTCGTGTTTGTGCTTCATTGACGGGGTCAATAAACAAGTGTACGACTTTATCCAAATGACACAACCTCGAGTGAAATTATCAAAAATATCCCGGTGAGTATAAAAATGTCTATCTATCTATCTAATTGCGACCAATCACTATTTTATATGAATATAAATTGAGTTGCTAACTGGCTCATATGCATTCAAAAATATGGTAATGTTTTTAAAAGTGAACGCACTTATTGAGTGACATGTGCCTCAAGCTTCTAAACATTCAGAAATTTTTTTATGAAATATTAGAAAATGAAACTCAAGCAGCAAGGCAGGATGAAATCTCTTCTGATTTTGTTGCCAAGGAAATTGGACTTCGCTACCGTAGAATGGGACGACACATTTTATTTACCAAGACAATTGGCTATTATACAAGTTTCAGCATGGATCTTGATGGGCAATTCAGTCCTTATAGAACCTTCCGGTCCAGCGCCAGCCCCTTTTCGCATCTGTGGCAACCGATGCCATACCAGTACCAATAGAGCAGCGGTGGCAAGAACTGGTATTCCAGAACCAGTACTCCGGGCAGGAATTGTTGTACCAGAGACGCAGTGCCACCCCGACTTGCATTCCCACTTTTAGGCGCTTGCATTTGCATTGCCTCCAATGTCAACTCCCACCAGGAGCACCGCCTCACGCTCTTCCTGTTGCTCGCCTTAAAACTCTCCTCTTGCCTCTGTCTCGACTTGCAAACGATAAGAAACTTTGAGAAACTTGAAGCTTGAAGTGTTGGATGGGAGGATTTACAGTTCTAGGCGGTGACCACGTCTTACAGGATTAGCACGTTTAGTTCAGGGCTACTCATTGACAACATCTACGTTAAAAAGTAAAATGTGAAGCTGTGATACAATGCGGCCTTGGCTTGGACTGGGTACTGATTGATCCAGATTTGGTCCTCGCGTTTGAGACAACACAATCCTGTGGGGAAGGATGGAAACCAAGTGAACTAGAAAATTCACGTAAACGTTTCTTGAAGTTTACCTAAAACAATGTCTAAAATAGACACTTCTCTGGTAGCTTCTCTTGTACTGAAGCCTTCCTTTGTGTTCGTAGCTGTAAGTAAAAATCAGTCGTAGAAATAATTCACGCAGGATAAGTTAAATAAAGGTTAGAAAGAAAGAAAGCAGGGCAGTCTGAGGTCGGGAGTTCGAGCCTCACATCTTTCATATACTTTCATAACGAAATGGACATGGGACAATTATATTGTGACGATCCATTAAATATTGGATTCCAACTTGGTCAGTTCTTGATGCAATGGTCCTTGTTCCATTTCCAGCCAAATTGGCATTGGTGGCACTTGTTGTTATACCAGTACCAGTTGCTCGGGCAACTCTCGCATTTGCTTCCACTCCACTTCCAACCGTAGAGACATTGGTGGCAATCGTTGCTATACCAGTACCAGCCTTTGGGACACTGGATGCACTTGTGGCCGTCCCAGTTCCATCCAGATTTGCATTTCTACTGGGCTGCTGCGCTTGCGATTCCACCAACGTCCACTCCAACCAGGAGAATTGTCACAAACATGGCCAGAAGCATCAGCTAGGACTTGCTCGCCATTGTATCCTCAATAGAAATGCAAACTGATATCTCTTCTTTCTCTTGATTAAATGCTTTGCTGGGTTATGGTGTTGCCAATGTGGGACCAATTTATATGGAGGATTTGAGGCTGAGTCCAAGTAAGACAGCTATGCACACGGTTTTTACCGCGTCTCCGGCACGACATGTCGTGTTTGTGCTTGATTGACGGGGTCAATCCAAATGAAACAGTCTCTATTTAAGTCCCGTGAAATCATCAAAAGATAATGGATCTTTGTTTTACCTGAGTTGCTAACTGATACATATGCATTAAAAAATATGATAACATTTGTACGAACCATAATTTCTTGTTGGGTATTTAAAGTCCACTCAGAAGCAAGAACTAAGAAAAAGTAAACTAAACTAAACTGGCTAAACTAAGAAGCATGCGACTTTAATTCACATTTCTCTCTCATCTCTTAGTATGAAACGCAGCAGCGCAAGACTTCGGTATTTCGATAATCTTGCTGCTCGAGTTGCTAGAAACTAAAAGTGAAACTGGCAGCAAGTTTCTCGTCAAGCGGATTCTGGATGAGGAAACCGAGCCTTAGAATGGGATGTCATGGAAAGAAAAACACACACATTTTATTCACCAAAAGGTTATCACAAGAAACAGCACAACCACAATATTTATTGTCGTTGACATATTACATGAGCTTGGATCTTGATGGGCAACTTCAGTTCTTCTTGCAGGAACTTCCGGTCCAGCGCCAGCCCATCTTGCAGCGGTGGCAAGAACCCGAGTACCAGTTCCAGTACTCCGGACATCGGTGGCAAGAATTGTTGTACCAGTACCACGGGCATTGGTGGCAAGAATTGTTGTACCAGTACCAGCGGGGCGGGCAAGAGACGCACTTCTTCCCATCCCAGTGCCGCCCCGGCTTGCATCGCCCATGGGCGCTCGCACTTGCAATTCCTCCAATGTCAACTCCCACCAGGAGCACCACCACAAGCATCGCCAGCAGCATCTTGTTGCTCGCCATCTTTTTTAAGAACGCCTCTTGCTTTGATGTGATCCCAGACTTGTGAACGAGATTGGAGAAAGCTAGAGAAACTTGGAGGAGCTTGAGTACTTTGATGTGCTTGAGTATGGAGTGGGAGGATTTATAGTGCAGGAGAGCGTGTTATAGTTCCGGATGACTCGCTGACTTTTTCGACGTTGAAAAGTAAAATGTCAAGCCCTGCGGATACGGATGTAGTCCTTCGACCGTGTCAGGCGCAAAGTCAGACGTTTTGGGTATTTGTGCTTTCATGGTAGTAAAAAACATTAATGTTTTACAACGTCTGGAGTAAAATGGGTTTGCCAAAACATAATTCTTGCAGATGCTATGCTTGAGAATCATTTAGATTCATTTCTAATGAGGAATGTTATTGAATGAATTTCTTCCGCTTTTAATGACCTCAGCTCCCAGACTGCATTTTTACCTGGATTTGCCTGTGCACGTAGACAAGGAACTCCACATAAGGCGAGCCCAGCCCGCTCTTAAGGAGTGGAACATCATCTCTGTAACAAAACCGAATGAGCAAGAGTGCCTCGAAAAAGAAAAAATGAGTGTGTTTGATCACCTAAAGGATCTCCCCGCTTCAGCAAATGCAACCTAGAATAGCAAGCATTTGCTATTCTAGGTTGCATTTGCTGAAGCGGGGAGATCCTTTAGGTGATTTAGCATCCGCATTAGAAAGACTAGTGAGAGTTTTTTTTTATCGAAACATACCGCAGGTAAGAGCAGCGTTGACGACGGATCTCGTTCACCATCTTGTTCAGCAAAATTGATGGCTCGTTATCGTACTCTTGCAACAAAAACTGCAAAAGAGAACAAGAGTAAGAAAATTACGAGTCATACGAGCAAGGGAATGTAGTACCTGTCCGGGAATCACTTCATTCACAGACCGCACTTCAAAGAGTTGATGAAGCAGCTCAGAGGAAACAGCCTTCCCTGCGTATAGAAAAGCGTCCTCACCGGTCTCCAAAAGAAAGATTCCTTCTGGGTCCAGGTTCTCACTTGATAGAGGAAGTGTCAGTGGTAGACTTGACTTGTCCAGCTATGCAAAACGCACTTTAATCAGAGTACCAAAGAGATAACTAGTACCTTTGGTATGTTGTGGATGGAAAATAGTCTAGGATATACCAATGGTATTGCCAGGGATGCTGAGATACTTGTAGCTTGCATAAGCCAGTAAGCCCTTTCATCAACATGAGCATCTTGCCACAGACCCATGCTCTTTGTAAGAGCTGTAATGAAGGAAATGAGATTGTGAAAAGTTAAAAGAAAAACAACATGAAACTTACTGAGTGTATACAGCAGTAGCAACTTGGGGAGGTAGGCATGCCTTGAACAGTGGAAGCCAAATGAGTGTAATATGTTTGGACTAAAGGCTTTAATTTAGATAGTCAAAAGTGGGAGTGGAATTCCTAACAAAGTGCTTGAGGAACGAGCATGAAATAAGCAGTAAGTGAGTATCTAGAAAAGGGACACAAGAGGACTAACACATGACACATGAAACTGTTTGAGATGGAGTTCGAGTCCGAGTCTAATTCTAAGTGCGAGTGCGAGTGCGAGTGTGAGTCTGAGTTTGGGTCCAAGTCTGAGTCCGAGAAGGAGTCTGAATCCGAATCCAAATATGAGTCTGAGTTCAAATCCAAAGGTGAAAGCCTAAAGCGTTTGTATCCCAGACTTTGGGGGGTTTGATGAGTTCCAAAAGTATAATAAGGGGAAGACTTTAATAGAGCTAATTTAGCTAAGAAATACTAGTATGACCAAGGAAGGTTATTATCACGTAGTGGGTGATAATAAAATTGTTGAGGAGTCCAAGGCTAGAGTGAATATGAATAGACAAGTGGGGTAGCTTGGTGAAATATTCAAAAATTGGCTCTAGCTCCCTTGAGAGATCAAATGGTCAATACTCCCAATCCAAGTGTGGGTGGCACTACCTACTTGGATACTAGCATGGCTCATCAGAACCTCGCTTTAGCCACATAGTTAGGGCATTTAAAGACAGAAGGTGGGGAGAGTACCCACGAGGCTTGCATAAAGCTATAGTGTTTCAAAATGTCATCCCAAAGTCCCAAACTGTGAAAAGGAAGAGGAATAATCCTCTGATGTAGTGATCAAGGATACAATCATATGGTGAGGAAGTTTCAAAGGACAATACGACTTAGTAATCGAGCCTTTAAACCTTGACCCAATGGTAGTGTATAAACCACAAATTTTTCCTTTCCAATTTGCCAGCTTACCTCGTCTATCCGACCAACACTACCTTGGCTTGTGCTAAGTTCCCTCGCCAAGGTTCTTGCTTATTGCACCAGCTCCTACTTGGTCCTACTTGGTTTCAACTAATCACTGCACGAGCAACGAAGAATTAGCCTTCCATCCACAGATTCCCAAATCCCTCCCAATCCCCCTTCTCGGGTTAGACTGGACTTAAGGTTCGGCTACACTCCCCGCAGGCACAAGCAGCCAGGCACACCAAGCCTCCAGGTTCCTAACACCCCTTGGTACAACAAGACTTGATCATGGGACCCTCTAAATCCCAAGCCTTGAGTGTAACACTTGCTTCGGGACATCAGGGCGAAACACCGTGGCCTAACGGCCCGGTATAGGTACCTCTACCCCCCCCCCCCCCCCCCCACTTCCATCCCGAAGGGAAGGCCCAAGCCCCTAGGAAGGGCGAGGACCAATGAGCCACAAGGTTCTCAAGTGGGGCACCACTTCACATGAGCCGGGAGCACCACAGTCGGTTTCCCTTTCGAGAGTGGGAGCTGCTCTTGAGCACTTCCCTGGGTGGCCCCTCCGGCACCACCCAAGCCCATACTCACTCCCACCCAAGCCCATACTCACTCCCACCCAAGGGCCTTCGGCCCCAGTTTCAACCTCAAATCAGTTTGGAAGCACCATTGGAGAGTTCCTTCAAGACTGGTTCCTGGACCTCACTATCCCTACTATACTTTTGGAACCCCCGACAGCCCCCCCCCCGCCCCCCCCCCGGGAGACGCATGCTTTGGGCTTTCACCCCTTGACATGTATTAGTATTTGGACTTAGTCTCAGATTCGATCTCGGACTCGATCTCGGACCCAACTTCGGACTCGGTCTCGGACTTGATCTCGGGCTCGATCTCGGACTCGACCTCGGACTCGGTCTCGGACCCGATTTGGATCTCGGACTTTGTCTCGAGCTCGGTCTTGAACTTGGTCTCGAACTCGGTCTCCAATTCAGCCTCAGACTCGATCCCGGACTCTATCTCGAACTTGGTCTTAGAGTTGGTCTTGGACTCGATCTTCGACTTGGTCCCATCCGATGAACTCTTTGTCATTTCGGTCATGCTTTTGGGGATCCTTTAGCCTACGGCATCTCGGGGAGTCGGTTCCTTACAACTCCACCACCCATAGAAGAAGTTCGATGCCCACATCGAACATCTCTTTTTATCCTACGACTTGTTGACCATGTCTCCGGGGGCATCCCCCCACTTAGCGGTGTGCCTAAGTTAACCTCCCCGGCCAAGAGCCCACGACAACGGAATATAGGTGTCTCTATACCCCTCATCACCACGCCCTAGTATGGGGTCGGGACTTGAACCCAACCTTGCTTTATTAGAGGGTTGGGACTCGAACCCAACCTCCGTAGAATACGTCTACGGATTCGACATCCCCGCGGGGAGTCGGGCGTAGTGCCCTACGCCTAATCGACCTAGCTAACCCATGCTAATTAGCTTACCTTCGGTGCGCCTTCGGGTCCCAATATATGCCATTGCTCAACTTCACAAATTGATATTTTAATTGAACTTTGCATAAGTACATAGAGTTTTGCCTTGCAGAAATTCCTCCACTAGATCTCGCACATTCGCTAGGTTCTCCTCCAGTTCCCATGTTGCTTCGTAGTGTGGAAATCCTTTCCACTTCACATGGAACTCTCTCACCTCGCGTCCTTGTCGCTTGCTCTTGCGTGCATTGAGGATGGCCTCAACTTCGTATTCCTCTTCCCCTTGGATAACCTCAGGTAAAGGTCTTGCTTGGTCCTTGCGAAGCGGATCCTCAAAGTACGGCTTAAGTAAGTTCACGTGGAACACTGGGTGCATCTTCCCCATCTCTCGAGGAAGTCGGAGGCGGTAAGCCACTTTACTGATTCGTGCCTCAATCTTGTAAGGCCCCACGAACCTACTTAAGGAACTTAAGATCAATTCATTTACAGGAATACATGCGTTTTTACCTTTGGGTCAACTTCCGGCTGATCCCACTTGGTAGCCTGAGGTTCTTGGTATTCAGCCACACCTTCTCCCCAGCTTGGAACTCTACATCCCGACGCTTCTGGTTCGCATACTTGGTTTGCCTTTGTTGAGCTCGTTCCAAGGAATCCCTCACTAGATTCCAGATGTTGAGTCTTTCCACCGTGAATGCCTCCATTGCGGGTAACTCTCCATGATACTCGGCCATGCCGAGTTCCACAGGACCTTCAATAGCTCACCCATTGATGACTTCCCATGGACTCACCCCGATACTTGAATGTGGTGAGTTGTTATAACACATTTCTGCAAATCCCAAATGACTTACCTAATCGGTCTGGTCTCTAGAGACATAGCATCGCAAATAATCCTCCAGCTGCCTATTCACCCTTTCTGTTTGTCCATCTATCAAGAAGTATTAGTGTCATCCAACTTGACTTAATACCCCATACCTGTCTGTGGGTGGTAGGCTGTGCTGAATTCAACTTCGTGCGATACTGTTCTAGGAGAGTTCTCCAAAACCTACTAGTGAAGATCTTATCTCGATCTGAGATAATCTCTTCTGGCCTTCCCCACACTTGAACCACTTGTTCGAAGAACAGCTTTGCCACACCTTCCGCATCCACTTCCGTTGTGGTGGGTATGAAATGTGCCATCTTCAAAAATCGGTCCACCACCACGAATATCGCATCAAACCCCTCACTTGGGGGGAGTCCCGTGATGTAGTCCATCGTAAGACATTTCCACGGACGATCTGGAATTGGGATGCTTTGCAACAAGCCCCCATTAGCCTTAGTCACGGCTTTTACCTGCTGACATATTGGACATGTCTTTACATAGTCTTGGACGTCCTTAGCCATATTTGGCTAGTGATACTTCCTCTTGAGTAAGCCCATCGTTTTGGGCACTCCGCCGTGTCCCGCAAGAGGTCCATCATGACACTCTTCTAAGGCTACCTTCCTTAGTTCCCCTTCTAGAACATACACCCTCGTTTGCTTGTAATAGATGAGTCTGTTGTGTTTCGCATAGCCCGTTTTCTCTTCCGTTGGCAGCTCAACTCTCTAGTGAGCTTCCCGTGCCTCTAGATTCCTTAGCAACACTTCTTGTGCTAGACCATCGTTCTCATATGCTGTCTGCACATCGTCCCAAAAGGTTGCTGTCGCACTAGATATCGCTAACTTCAAGCTCGTTTTTCGACTTAGCGCATCTGCCACGATATTGCTCTTCCTAGGCTTGTACAGGATTTCGCAATCAAACTCGGCCAAGGCATGGGCCCACCGACCCTGTTTCCCTCTCAGGTCGGGCTGTGACAAGAAGTGTTTCGTTGCCACATTGTCCGTTTAAACCTTGAAGTGTCTCCCAAGGTAGTGTCGCCACTCCTTGAGCGCCTTGACCACCGCAAACAGTTCCTTCTCGTGAGCAGGCCACTTCCTTTGAGCCTTGTCCAACTTCTTCGAGAAGAACACTACTGGATAGTTGTCTTGCTTCAAAACTGCACCCAACGCAAAGTCTGAAGCATCTATTTCTACCTCA